TCATGGACATTGTAATCTAAAGTATGTACTTTACTTTTTCCCGGTTTGATTTATTACTTATTATGATAAATTATGAAATAGTAGAAAATAGTGAAATTTTTTTCAACCATTTTGGTTAAAATCACCTGCCACAAGGCGGCACTGTAGTTTGGAGGTCAGTTTTTATCTCGCGAGCTGTATGTTTTTTCATTTATTTATTTTTTAAATTTTTTAATATTTAAGTTTTTTCAGAAAATACTAATTTCTTAGAGTGCACTAGGCATGAAAGTTTCCTTGCTATTGTCTGTGAGAATGCAGAAATGCCATAAAAAAATTGTGATATGGGCTTCGATACTTCAGATGGCTGCGAGTCTGACAATGAATAAAATTGTTTTCTTAAAAATAAATTCCTGTAGCAACAAATAAGCCCTCATTATTGATTCATGTAAAAAGCCAGCAGTTCCCATGTTAATTTGTTAATTTGTATGTATACTACTATAGTACTATAGTTGTTAACACAGGTCTCCAAGTTGGGCGCGTTGGTCTCCTAGTTGGAAACGTAGGTCTCCAAGTTGGGAGCGTCGGTCTCCTAGTAGGAAGCGTAGGTCTCCTGGTTGGGCGCTGGGCTTTAGTCATAGCTATAGTCATTAATAGCACAGCTCCAAAAACTGGAATTCAACAAGTTAGTAGGAAAATCTTATATGTACATATGTACCACTACTTAAGAACTTACGGAGCACAAAGAAATTCCTGGGCCACATCTTTCGATGCCTTAATGATTTCGAGTTTGAGCTCGGAACACAACTGATAGCCATATAGTAGCGCAAACGTACTTTTATAGGGGAATCGACATCAGGAAACAAACAAGTGATCTTCAGATAACACTTGCAAGTCTTTTAACAATTGTCTAAATTTTGAACAATACATTTAAGTGAAAAGACTGTCCGCGTTTGTTCATTGCTGAATTTTCAAGAATACTACAAAGCGAGTCATAAAAATGGTTAAAGAAATCGATTTTGAACCCTTTAGCTTGGAAATGCTTACATTTGTATGTACTGTTGCAACGTACTAAGAAATAATATTCGTTGGCAGTCTCAGTTCCTTTGCTCAAAAAAACTTTTAATACAAACATTAAAAGTATCTTATAAAGTTGGCAGTTGACTTGACAAAAGATGAAGAAGCCAATACATATCAAGCCCTAACCGCCAAAATAACGTAAGCGACAAAAAAAAAATGTCTTTTTGATGCAGAAATATATCTAGATGCTCTAGGAATATTTATGCATCAAAAAGAAAATTTTGAAAAAAATGTCGCTTGCGTTATTTTGGTGGTTAGGGCTCGATATAATTAGGTTGATAATCAAGGAATAGAAACAAATTATGAACGAATTGCCCTATTATATCACCAAAAATAACAAATTTGGTTTAAAAATGCGCTCGAGGCTCCAGAACATGGTCAGTGTGTCGAATTTCAACTAAATTGGCCATCTCTGCGGATATAGAGAAATAATCTGCATTTCGGAGCTAGTGTTTTTTTGTAGGAACCATTGTTCATGTCCGTTTTAATTTGTTTTAAATCTTTCTCGATTTACGATTAAACCTAAGTAGACTTTTGATGTTCGTCTTTCAAGACATCGCGGCCAAATTCCACATAACCAATTCCTGCAAAGGCGGGGCAAAAGCACAAAAAGTGTTCCACCGTCTCATCCTCTTCAGGGCAGGATGGGCAAATGGAGTTGTCATGTACGCCCATCACAGTCAGGTGTTTGTGCCACGTGAAGTGACCAGTCAGCAGCTAAACAAGTTGTCTGCAGTCCCGTCTGCTAGTCTTACTATAGATATGAATATGTTAAAAAAATGTGTGTAAATAAAAAGGACCAACTAGGGATGAAACGATAAGTGTAAATACAAGTACATGCTCGATACTTTTCGTTCGATACCAAGTTAATTTAATTTTAATTTTTGTAACATGATTCAGTTTTCTCGCTCGAGGAGGTTATCAGTTCGTTGGAATATTTTTTTATTTTTTATTTTTTTAACCAACTTCCAAAAAAGGAGGAGGTTATCAGTTCGTCGGAATATTTTTTTATTTTATTTTATTTATTTTTTTATTTTTTTTTTAATTTTTTTTATGTATGTTACCGCATAACTTTGGACCACGTCGACCGATTTCGATAATTCTTTTCGCATCGGAAAGGTAGTGTCTCAGAGGTGGTTCCATGCTTATCTGGTTAAGATCCGATCAGTGGGTCTTGAGATATATATATATATATATTTTTATATGAGATCGAAGTCGGTTTTTTTTGCTAAGAATTACTTGTAAATATATTTTCGACTTAAACACCACTTAGACATCTTTTGATTAGGGAAAAAGATATCATGAAGTATCGATACCTGTACTTGAAAGTTGGCATCGAAAGCAAGTATCGATACCGTACTAAGTATCGGGCTAAAAGTAAAAAAAAAACGTTATCGCATAAATATCTAAGACTTTTTGTCAAAATAACTTATGTTACTATCATTTTAAGTTTTGAAACATGTTTTACCAGGATGGCCTCCCAAAAAAAAAAAAAAAAAAAATGTGGCAAAGTCCAATAAGTTGTTTTTTGAAAAGTCTCCAGAATTTTGCTAACAGAATTTGCTCCTTTTTTATGTACGTATTGTATATGTTATATGCACATAAATATTTATTTTTTACAAAGAGAAAGCTATTGAGATCAAAAACAATTATATTATAATTTATTTCATACAAATTAATTAATTTATAAAAGTTATCTATATTAATATACCGTTCAACAGCATTTTTGCAGAGGCACCATTGTATATTTCTGAAAGAAGTAATCAAGTTGATTTTTGGAAGACAAAGTTATAGTATAGTGTAGACATTCAAATCGATAGTTTAGAATGAAAAGTTGCTAAGTCCATTTGTAGAAAATTTCAAAACATTTCCTTAAAGAATTTTGCAAAAGTTTACTTTGCAATTTAAAAGATTTTTTTTTGAGCTTATCGATTTTCCTGCGCCTCTTTTAGACCTCTGTAAATTGGGCTTTAATTGTATATAAACGGGAAGAAATAAAACAAGCACGTTAGTTAATCCTTTTGTAGACGTTGCGTTTTTAATTTACCTTGCTTCCTCTATCCAAATATGAGTTTTCACAACAAGTGGACTTAGTAGCGTTTCACTTCAAGCTAGCGATATGTTAATGAGATGATAATGGGGGTCTTTCTTTGTAGGACTTTCATTTCATTGGCAACTAAACTGCCAAAAATGTTTAGCTATCCACAATAATAATTAGATTAAAAACTAAAAGTTCGAGAATAAAATTGTCACTGAATCGGGTTTCGATACAAGTACCTACTTTCTTCCGATACGTACTCAGTGCTCGGTTCAAAAGTATCGATACCAAAATTACTTGGTATCGGACGAAAAGTATCGAGTATGTACTTGTATTTACTAGTATCGTTTTGTCCCTACTTTTGATTGACTTGCCATCATTTTGTAATGTTTCATTTAAGTTATTGTTTAAATTTAATTTGACTTTTTAACAGGTTACAAGCCTCTTTACAAATATTTTCGAAGCAAAACCTCTTTCGATTGAAATTCATATTCCAATAATTTATTTTATATGTGAAAAAATGGGATTTGACATTATTTAAACATGCTGCCACCATCTCCGAAATATTTTCAAGATTAAATTTTTTTTAAACTCATTCGTTTGTCGCCCACATTGTAAAATGTCGATGAACTTACAACTTAAAGTAGAATTTACTTTTTAAGCTCTAGTGGTGTCCTTCTTAAAAAAATATGCTATGTGGTAATCCAGGCCAAGGCAAACAAACATACTTACACATTGACTCACAAGCTTTAACATTTATAATATTAGTGCGATTTCATTAAACTTGTCAATTAAATTCCTAAACTGGTGGCAACGCTCGATGAATTACACATTTAAATATTTTATTTAACTTGTTAATTCAATTAATTGTTGTACAACAATAAAATACAGTACAGACAAATTATTTTTAGCCAGATTACCTGATAACCAGGCAAGCGTGGACAACCACACTACATCTTTTTAAACAAGTGGCAATCCCCTCGAGATATATTTTCGAAACAAATCGTTTAGGAACCCCTTTCGTTTTACATCCACACTGTTGTAATCTATATATTATACCTATATAGTTCTCGTGGCACGGTGTTGTCCACGATGAGCTCCGAAACTGACTATCCGATTTGCTTGAAATTTTGTACGTGGGTAGGTAGCCTTTTGCCAAGGTTAAGATGCAGAATACCCTTTTTTCCACGAAGTGGACCAGGGACAGATCTATTCCGAAAAATCGTATCTATGATTCGATTTGCTACAAATTTTGTTAGTAGAATCGAACTGCATCCAAATACACAATGTATCGAATTTATCGAGTTTATCATTTTCTTTGCCTCTATCTTTATCTCTTTCTCTGTCTCTAACCGTCTATTTCGTTTTTTTCCTTATTTTTATCTTCATGTTTATGTTCACATTAATCTTTTCAATTTCATTTTTTTCTCTTCCTTTACCTTTATCCTGATCTTTGTCTTCATTATTTTCTTCATCTACATATTCACACCCACCTTTTTCATTATATTAAGTGTTTAAATTTACCTTTCTCTTTGTTTCTATCTTTAGGTTTCTGTACTTTTATGTTAATCTTTGCCTTTATCCATTTCTTCTCCTACATACTCATCTTTACCATTTTCCTTGTATGAATCTTAATCTACATAAATCTTATTCCAAAACTGCCGCTTAGCTCGTTTATTTAATTCAGTGTCAATATTAAAGCATACAGTTAGGAGGCATTTCCTCCTCATTACTGTCAATAAAGAATTGATCTCGACATCAAATAACGGATATTTTTTCAACATATAGCTAAATCTTCTACTAAATCGTCGGTCTGATAATTTTTGTATTTGTATTTAAAGCAAAGTAGGTTTCATATGAAGTCAAATAATTTTATTGCAAGAATTATCATTTTTTATAAAAGTGAATTGAAATTTTTGAGTTCGAAAATTAGTTCTTGGAAAATTAAAACATTTGCATATTTTAAATCAGTTAACATTCTGTCAATCATTGTGTCTCATTAATCTTGGCATTCGGCGGCAGGTTCTTCAGTTTTTGGCTTCTCGCAACAGTTTTGCCTGGTTACCAGTCTAAAAATAGAGGAGAAGACAGGAATAAATATAGAATTTTCCAGTTAGCTGAAGTATTTAATTGAGTCCACTTACTAGTACGCGGTCTTTATTGGCAGTTGAGATTGCGTGAAACACACTTACAACCTTGGTGTCCTACCGTCGCCTCGGCCCATAACCGCCTCCACCACCACCACCCCATCCATCATCAGGCTGGGCTTGAGTCATAGCTACAGTGATTAATAGCACAACTCCAAAAACTGGAATTNTTTGATGATTGCAAGTTTGAGAACGGAAACCAACTGTTAGTCAAACAACTGCGCCGACGTACTTTTATAGGAGAATTGAAATCAGCAAACAAGTGTTTTTCAGATATCACTTGCAAGTTTTTTAACAATTGTATAAAATTTAAACAATACATATAAGAGAAAGGCTGCCTGCTGTGCGTTTTTTATAATTAAATTTACAACGAAACTACAAAAGATGTTCTAAAAATTATTTACAGCGATTTATATAACACGGTCAACGAAAACACGTGTGCTGATTTTTTTTTTCAGTTATATTAAAACTTACAGAAGGGGAAAAAAATTTGTTCACTTAAAGTTGTTGATAACACCTTAGCCTAAATAATTCTTTAGAGTGCCTTACAATATTGTCCAAGGCTGATAGTAAAGAAGGTTAAGCCTAAAGCTCTACCCAGAATTGCAGCGCACGACGGTCGAATTGCGGCGCCGGAGTTTTTACCGCCCTTTTTCGGTTGATTTAAATGTATATATATTTTCAAAGCCCAGCGGGTACGGCACAATATTGATTGAGTGTTGATTGTAATAATATTTTATTATTTTCACAATTTTGCCAATGTTTTCATCCATTTCTATTTCCAGCAAATATACATACACGCACGTTACGAAAAAATATTTCATTTTAATGATAATTTACAAATCAAAAGGAAAACTGACGGAAGCCGTCAAGCGCCGCACTTGTGTTTAGTCTGACGGATTTCACTGCGCCAACTAAACAGCTGTTCACTTACCGCCGACCGCTTTGCCGTCGTTCGCTGTAATTCTGGGTAGGGCTTAAATCAAAATCACATGTTTATGGTTGGTGGAAATTTCAAGATGGGAGAGTATCATAGGTTCGCATAAATCCAATATACATACGACTTATTTCAGACGAAATACCATAAATGTCTTACAATTGTGTTTGTAGGCATTCATCAAGAATTGTATTTATTGTGGCGCCGTAAAGCGAGGACCGCAATGGTTATGGCGGTAGATTTAACGGTGGTAATTTGACTTTAATCCCTGGTGTCTCCGAATGACTTCACTTGAAGATTTTTAGGAATAACTCGCCACCTTGCGGATTTTTTTGGCCATACCGTTACAAATATATAGCGCAGAAATATTTCCCTTCATGTTACCAATACAAATAATGGATATTAGCCAGATCAGATCATAAATACGATTTTGTAGTAATAACTCTACTCCAGCACCACCTGGCGTTGTAAGATGTGAACCTAAATATACAGGGACCCACTAAAANGTTAGGCCATATCGTTACAAATATATAGCGCAGAAATATTTCCCTTCATGTTACCAATACAAATAATGGATATTAGCCAGATCAGATCATAAATACGATTTTGTAGTAATAACTCTACTCCAGCGCCACCTGGCGTTGTAAGATGTGAACCTAAATATACAGGGACCCACTAAAACACAGCAAAATTTCATTAAAATCATTTCTGTCGTTTAGGAAAAGTTCGCTTACAAACACACGTACCGAAGAATTATATATGTATTTAAAGATATGTAGATAAAGGTTTCAGTATGTTTGGAAGGCGCCACGCCCCCTTTTCCAATAGCCCCCACTTTTTTCCATGAGTATGAGACTGATTTCAAAATCTAATTCCCAACTTATCCCAGGACTCTACCACAAATATTTCCAGAGATATGAAAGCGGTATTAAAATTTCGATTTGTATGGTTGATGATACGCTCTCTTTACATATCGAAATTATTATCAGGTTATAACCAAAAGGTGTCTAAAAAGATGTGAATTCTCTCTATATGATTGGTATAGATAATAAGTACAGATAAATAGCCAATTCACGCTTGTTTTGCGGCACCTTAAAACACCTTTCGAACTGAACAATCATTTAATTCTATGTATGTATATTTCTGTGGCCATAAGCAATAATCGCTTAAGTCGAAAAACCTGAATTCGAGGAAAGACGCTTTAAAGATTTGTATTCTAATGTTAACCTTATGGGGAAACCAAAATATTTTCATCTATAACTTTTTAAATAGCCTAAGTAACGAGATGGGAGTTTCCCATACACATGGAATAGTAGTTGCAGAAAACGATAGCATACATAACTCAATTCTTTCTTAAGTCGACTTAGGCGGTTATTGCTTATGACCACAGATCTATAATACGAGTACCAAAATTCAATCAAAGCGGACCATAAATATGATTTTTTCGAATAGATCAGTCTCCCTGGTACACCTACCTGAAAAAAGCACTATATATGCTAATCTAGCCAAAAAGCTGCCTACGTAAATATCCTTTTTTCGAATAGATCGGTCCCTGAATAAAGTACTATATATACATGGGCGTCGCCAGGATCGAATAGGAAGGGGGGGGGGGGGGGGGG